TGCTGCCGGGAAATTAACCTACTTCTTTAACATTATATATGAACATGTCACTCTACCGCATGACTGGATAATATCCACATATGTAGCTCTTCCTAAAAAACAAAAAGCAAGGTAATGTGAAGACCATCGAACTGTATCCCTAATGAGTCATGCTGCTAAGATTTTTATGCGAGTAATTTATAACCGCATTCACAATAAGTATGAAGAATACCTGAGTCGTTCTGAATATGGTTTTAGGAAAGGTACAGGCACCAGAGAAGCAATAATAGGATTGACACTAATGGCAGAAAGGTATCTCGAGGTTCAAAAACAGCTGTATGTGTGCTTTGTCGATTATAGAAAGGCCTTCGACAGCATTAGACACGAAAAATTGATTGAGGTGCTAAAAGAAGTAGGGCTGGACGGACACGACATAGCTATAATAAGCAATACATACTGGAACCACACGGGATGTGTTCGAACAGACAACGGAAATACCAATTATGTAAACATAGAACGAGGAGTGCGTCAAGGGTGCATTTTGTCCCCTCTTATATTTAATGTCTATGCCGAAAATATCATCAGAGCTTCTCTTAAAGATCGCCCTGAAGGTGCCAGAGTCAATGGAATCATCATTAACAATGTAAGATATGCCGATGACACCGTAGTATTAGCAGAAACAGAAGACCAACTAAAAATATTGATGAACATACTATCAGAAAAAAGTCACAGACTAGGTTTGGATATTAATCTTTCCAAAACCAAAATCATGGTATTCCACAAGAACCCCCATGAACAAATTACACCCAACATACAAATCAATGGTATCACCCTTCAGAGCTTTCAAAGCTTCATATACCTGGGCAGAGAGCTAAACAGTCAGCTAGACCACTCAAAAGAAATTAGAAGACGTATTGAAATAGCAAGATCTGGCTTCATGAACATGCGTAAAATGCTCTGTAACCCCAAGCTATCAATCACAATAAGGTTAAGAACACTAAAGTGTTATGTGTGGTCTCTACTACTATATGGCTGTGTGACCTGGACATTAAAACAGTATGACGTCAACAAACTGAATTCATTCGAAATGTGGATGTACCGCCGAATGCTAAGAATAAGCTGGACCAGCAAAACTACAAATGAAGAGGTACTGGAAATAATGAACACACGACCTCATCTGGTTAATACAATCAAAATTAGAAAGACGTCATATCTAGGACACATAATGCGCCATAAGGAATTTGAGCAGCTCCAGGTAATATTAGAAGGCAAAATCGGGGGTAAAAGGGGTATAGGAAGAAAAAAGAAATCCTGGCTCCGAAACATCAGAGATTGGACTCACACAACAGGAAATGACTTAATCCACCAAGCCCAGAACAGAGAGAAATTTGCCATATTGATCTCCAACTTCAATAGAGAAGGCACTTAGGAGGAGGAGTGAAGTATATTGCTTCCTATTTCAGAACTTTCTCGTCTACCGTTAATTGATGACCAGGCAAAACAGTAAGCTGCATTTGGTAATGCGGCTTTTTATACACACAAATTGTAGATGCATAATTTTCGAGAACTAACAGTTGTCCAGTCAATCCACTTGGTAGTACGACCTGTAAATCGAAAGTAATTGAAACAAAATCCCGTTGTTCATTAGATATTTTCTTATCATTTTGTTTTCAAGATTACATACTTCTTTTATTTTCTGATGTTCTCTGTAACTGTCTTCTAAATCCGATTTGTCAGTTGGATTATCCCTATCATATTTATTACAAACTAAACATTGATCTTTTTTAGGAACAAAAAAGCTTAAATTATAGTCATTAGAAAATATTCTTTGACATGTAATTGCTCTAACACTTCCAGTTCCTTCTGCTCCCAATCATTTATATAAAGTTCATACATTTTTCTAATAGAGGAAAGGCACCGAATTCGAGACCGGCGCCTAAATTGAGACACCATCGTATATTTGTGTACGATAGGGTGACATCTAGTAAAAATATTGAAAACTGATCATTTTGTGCATTAGTGGTAGATCTGCTTTTAGTTGATGCTTAAAAGTGACCTTGTTGATTTGTCGACGTTAATTTGATTTACAAATTACACAAATTTTTTTCGGAATTTATAAAAACTTACAATACATCAAGGTAAGATGATTTGATGATGACATTTACTCCAATTATTTTTTTTTTGTTAGTTTAATATTAGTTAATACATGTTATGCAAATTAAACGGTAATTGTGTGGCTTACATAACCAACAAAAATGGGTTTTTTAACGGAAAAATCCTAATTTAAGATACCTGTAGGTTTCAAATTTGAGAGTGCCTCAAATTAGGACCCTGTATAAAATTTTTATTTTTACGTGTTTTTTTGTTTGTAGATGCCGCTAAAAAATAAAAAATGGAACGAAAATGATATTATACGGGCTGTAAATACAGTAAGAAATAGAGAGATCGGCTATTTGAAGACCTTAAAAGTTTTTGGAGCACCAAAAGATACCTTAGAACGATATGTGAAATCAGACAAAACTCCAGAAGAACTCGTCGGGATATCAATAGGCCGCCGACCTATTCTTCCTTTAGAATTAGAAAATGAGTTGGTTGAGTATGCCTTAACTGTGGAGCAACATTATTTCGGGCTAAGAGTGCGTGATATAAAACGACTGGAATTTCAACTTGCAATACGAGACTCAATACCACATCCATGTAGCGGAGTCAAAAAATCAGCCGCAAAGAAATGGTTGAGGCTCTTTCTGAAAAGGCATCCGACCTCTCCAATACGTACTCCTCATGTGCTCGAGTAGAATCTTTTACTCCTGAAAATGTATCCAAGTTATTTGACCTATATGAGCCAGAATATATTAAGCTTACTAACCCTGCACAACGTATACTCAATATCTACGAAACGGGCCTTACAATTGTTCAGCACAAACATGAGAGGAAAGAAGCAGGTTTCATCACTTACTTCAGTCGAAAGGGGCAAGCTAATTACTACTATTACTTGTATGAATGCTGCAGGAGTTTTCATATCATCATTATTAATATTCTCTGAAAAAAAATATAAAAACAGAGTTAATGCTAGGAGCTCCCACTGGAGCAGTCGCAGAATGCCATGTGTCAGGTTTGGTATAGGCCGATATTTTCACTACATGGCTTCAACACTTCATAAAATTCACTAAACCTTCAGCTGCAGACCCTGTTCTTCTCGTCCTTGATGGTCACTATTCTTATACGAGAAACGTTGCTCTAATAGATTTGGCGAAACAGAATCATGTGAAGATTATTTGCCTCCCACCACATTCTATACATAAAATGCAACCGTTGGATATTGCTTTTATGGCACCGCTGACAACTTACTATACACAAGAAATAGAAAACTGGCTTAGAGAAAATCAGTTTGAGTGTTGTGTCGCCTTATGCCGTTATTTTTTGTAAAGCGTATAACAAAGCTGCGACGATGGAAATATCTTGCAATTGTTTCCTAAAAACTGGACTGGTCCCTATTTGTCGTCATATTTTTAGGGACCTTGAATTTGGAATTCAAGAGCACTTAGAAACACAAAACGAAAGGGACGAACAATTAATAGAACCAAATCATGTAACTATTTGTAACTTATGTTTAGAAAAAATTCATAAAAAAAATATTAATAAAAAAAATATTAAAAAAAAAGTTAAAAAAAATAAAATAAAAAGAATATAAAAAAATACTTAAAAAAATAGATTTAACTACTTCATCAACAACTTGTTTTTTCGAAAGACATCTGTCCAATCCCTACATTATATAATAGAGATACCACTAAAAAATCACATGACAGATCAGGAAAGGCTTCAGTAATTACTCTAACACCCTACAAAGAAGAATTAGGGCAAAGTTTGCAAAAGAAAAAAGCAAAAAACTAGTACCCCAGCTAAACTTGGATTGTGTATTTGCTCCAGAAAAAAAAAACAGTTTAACAATAGGTGTTGATGAAAAAAAAAAAAAAACTGCAACGCCCGAAGAAGAAAGGGCAGATGAAGACGTAGGTCAACCTTCTATATCAAAAGGCAAAACATCAAGAAGGAAGCGGAAAGTTTCTTCGAGTTTAAGCTCAGATAGCAGTGAAGACTTTTCATTAGCTGATTCATCAAATTAAGGTACTTGTCTCAAGTTTAGATACCCTATCCCAAACTAGGGCACCGTTTATTTTTAATATTAAATGTCGCAAAAAAAATTAAATGTATTTTTTTGCAAAAATATATGTTTTATTCACTTTATTTTTTTTTGTTGTGTTTTAGAAACATTAAGTTTAAGTTTTCGAAATAAATGTTTTAAAAATTTTTGAATATTCTGTTTTATATTTGTTTTTTAAAAAAAGTGTCTCAAATTTGGTGTCTTTCCTCTACTTAAATTTTTGTCCAAATATCTACGCTTTGAACTTTGGCGAATATAATGTGGGCCCATGGTTGGAAATGACTTAATGTGAGCTTTTATGATTTTTCTGGTTTCACTGCTTGTTTCATTTGGCGGTATATGCCTATTTTATCGTATATTGCCTCTTTTATCCGTACCTTCATAACAGCCTAGAATATCCGTTTTTCTTACATCTTGTATTAACGACGCTGATAGCGACGCAAAGTGTCTGACAAACAGATTTATCACATATCTGTATGTCTTGACCATTCAAAGAAAAACAAAAACACTTTTTGGAAAATGCAAGTGGTTTTTTTAAACTGCGACGAACTGCAAGGACTCTCTTTGGTAGCTTTGTTTTAATACGTGCAATAAGAACATTTTTCTGGACTATATATTTTTAACTTCCAATAATCACGATATAGTCTGGCTGTAATCTTTGCTGAAATAACTGGCACATTTGTAAAAGAACTCTGAACAATTAACTTGTTTTGACAAATTTGCTGGTTTATTCCTTTTTTTATCTCATAAGGCAAACCCTCAGCACGCCCCCTTTTTGCGACATTTATTACCCAATCTTTGGAGTTTACAAACTAAAAGTTTATATAATTAAATAAATTGTTTAATGGATTATTTTTAGGTCGATATGATGCGTTACATAAAATTGAAGTAGATCAAAATGAAATAACCGAACATTATAAAAACAGAGATGATAAGTTATACTATAGACAAGTTTTTTACGAAACTAATGAGGAATCAACAGTAAAAATTGGAGGAGTTCTTAGACGACCAATCTTTAAAATAATTCAAAAATATGAACGTGATGAAAGCAAACCTTCTTATGAAGATATAGCAACTCGCGAGTTTGCTATCGTTGCAAGGGAAATAAAAATTAAGTTTCATTACGGCAAAAATAACGTAACTGCTTCCACCAGAATATTCATAAAACCACCGATTTCAGAATTTGGAGAGGAAATGGTATTCGATCCAGAACTTACCTACGGATATCAGGCGGAGATCGGACTTAAACGACCTAGACAGTTAGCCCTTTTTTTAATGTTTGAGGACCAGTTAAAAGAAGAAGCAACAGTTATTAATAACATAAGAGATGTAAGTTTCTTTAAATTTTCCTACTTTACGTTTTGGAGATATAATAATAAATCTTTTATTTCTTTATGTCGTTTTATCACTATTTTTAGGAAAACACTACTATAAATAAAATAATTGTATTACTGTCAAAGTTATTTTGTTAATTTTACATAGCTATGTCTAATAATTAGAAATACATTTATTAGGCAGTGGCAACGTATGCATTGCTACATGAAAAATACAAATTGAATGTATCGAATATAATATATATATATATATATATATATATATATATATATATATATATATATATATATATATATATATATATATATAGCGAGTGTTTGCAACTTTAATTTTGTCGCTTCTCGCATCCCAATCGATAGGTGTATATTTTATCACACACACACAATCACGCGAGGCGATCAACCCTACCCCTAGGGACATGTGTATACCACTGTAAGAGTGGGATCCACATGTCCGAAAATCAAACCGGTTACACCTCACTAGTTGAGGTGGTACCTATCTGACCCCCAGGCTTTTCCTCCACCCCTCCTCAGCGTGTGACTTACGTGAGGAGGCTTATGATCTGAATGTTACGTAAGGTGTCTTGGGTAATGAGACACCTTCTGTTTTTAATGACTGTGGTTAGGCCACCTAACTGTAGGGGTAGCACACATGTCGGCTTTTCTCCTATCTAGCTATTTAACTTTACTGACTCTATAGAAGTTACTCTAGCTTTACTTCGGGACTCATGTCCCTAAAAAAGAGCGTGTGTTCCAGACAGAGAGCCATCGGTCTAGACCGACAGCTCTCTGTCTGGAAAAAAATGTGTGTTCACTCAGTCGCCGATTTGACAAAATAAAAATTTTGTTCTCCTCGCCGGCTGGGTGTTCGAGAAGTGAGTCCTGGCCACCGAGCCCATGCTTGCCGCACATGACCTCGATGCTCAGAGTCCGCGTTTGATCAATATTTGATCTGCCTGAAGGGCCTGTGCCTGCTGGCTGGTATAGAGTGCCTGACGGGCCTTTTATACATTCTTATTTGTGTTATGTAAATTTTTGTGATGTAACGGGTGTTCTTGTTTATCTTGAAGATGACATGACATTAATTAGACAGTGAGCGATTTTTGTTTTTTAAAAACTAAGTCTATCTATGCTAATACCTTAACTATGGAGTTATATTTTATCGAATATACACCTATCAATTTTCCACAGCAAAATGAAGCGCTATGCAAACTTTTGCATTCGATTAGGGAGTGTACCAGGAAAGCTTTTGAACAAAATTTACCATGGTGTTAAAATGAAAATTGCATTTTGTGCAGAGGGAAAATGCATTTCGAAAATACATAGAAAATGAAAAATTTGCAAAATGTCGAAAGTAATGATTTCAATTTGGTTACTCGAGTTTTTTGAGTCGCTGAATATAAATTTATATTTATATGGCAACGACGATGGTCCTCAAGCTACCTGGTGCTCAGGATGGACCTCATCGGTCGAAGTGTGTTAATTTCATTTTGACTTATTTTGAATGAAAATAATATAACACTTCAGGCGAGGTTGATCCTGGGCATCAGGTAGCTCGGGGATAATTGCCGTCACAATATTTGGGTTCAACGATCTCGAAAATCCCCAAGTAATGACTTTCGACTAATTTCGAATGAAAATAACATGAAACTTCAGGACACGAGGTCCACCCTGGGCATCAGGTAGCTCAGGGGTAGCAAATTAAATTCATTCCTGTCGATATTTTTGTAGTTGTAAATTTTTTATTTTCTATGAACTTTTGAAATGCATTTTTCATATGCATAAAATGCAATTTTCATTTTACCCTCATGAGTTTTGTCCACAAACCTTCCTGATACTTTCTCGAACCGAATGCAAAATGTTTCACAGCGATTCATCTTGCTGCTGAAAATTAGCAGGCTAAGTACTTCGTTTCGTTCGTTTACGATACGACAATAAATAAATTTAATAAACAATCTAGATTTATAAATAACTTTTACATTACACTGTCTGATTTCTGGGGCGATAAAGAAAAAGGAGCAGGAAGGCAGAGGAGAAAATTAAGCCAGGGATCTAAAAATTTATAGATAATATTATTTATTAGTTTATGTCCTAACGTCTAAACATTTTCTGATTAACGATAATAGGTATATATATATATATATAATAATAATAATAGTCTCCCGTTTTATACCGCACGCGGCTTTGGGAGTATAGCAGGGTAGTCTGCTATATCTAGGGCCTACGGTATACAAGGAAGGTAACATGGCCAGTGCTACGCTTCAACCGCCTATTATTACCCCTGGTTTTACCCAAGGTACTCATTTTATTCAGGCTGAGTCGACCTGGGGCCTATAGACATTTTAAAAATGCCTAGTTGTTCTTGCCGGCGGTAGGATTCGAACTCACGACCACCGGCATGCGAGGCAAGCACACTACCGCTTGCGCTACGCAGGCCCTATATATATATGTATATATATATATATATATATATATATATAAATATATATATATATATATATATATATATATATATATATATATATATAAATTTTTAGTTTTTATTTTAGTTGTTTATTGTGTGGCATATATATATATATATATATATATATATATATATAAATTTTTAGTTTTTATTTTAGTTGTTTATTGTGTGGCAAGACCACCTATCTGGGACGGTGGTTAAGGTTTTAGCCAGAACACGGTTAATCTGCCACTACCCTGGGGTCTTCTGGCTTAGTATCTCACTCGTCACTGTTTCGTGACGTAGAGGTCCAAAAAAGATTTCCCCCACCGCTGCCTGTCAGAATTCAATGCATATCTTCTTAGGCTCTTACTGAAATCTGGCAATACGGCAATTAAAAAAAAAGGCTCGAATCACAGAACAATTCTGTCAGTTGTTCTTCTTCCTCTGTTGAAAGTGTCGATGACGTGGATGACAGAAAAGGATTTCTGACCCAGTCATATTACTTCATATCTTCGGGAAAATATTTCTCAAACTGCTCGTTCAATGATAACATGTGTTGCGTAAACATATTTGTTAAAGAGGAATCAATAATTTTTATCGATTTTTCTTTTAGAATATATTATAAAGCAGAGAACAGTAAATTTCTTGATCTTCTAATTTTCTTTTCCATAAGAGTAATTTCTATTAAAACTCACTAATTTTATCAGTCAGTAAATAAGAAACGAAGTAAACGCCAGAATAAAATCAATCAAAAGAGAACATTGGGCCAAATTCACTTGCGACATGGACTACGACCTATATGGTGCCCAAAAGAAAGTATGGAAAATGCTCCGAAACAGGAAAAAACCAGTTAACGAGTTCGTGCAGACCAAAGGAATACCTATAGACATGGCAACAGCATTTTAAAGAGCTATGCGCTGTTTTAAAGAGCTACTTGTGAGTGCTACAATCAATGACGAAGAAGTAGAAGCAAAGATCAAAAAGCTAAAAAACAGAAAATCACCGGGAACGGATGGTATACCCAATGAACTTTTAAAGTATGGAGGCAAGTATGGATTGCAAGTAAACGGGCACAACTATTTAACAAAATATTAAACAAAACAGAAACACCAGAGGAATGGCATAGTAGTATCACAATCCCCATATTTAAAAAAGGAAAAAAAACCTGCCCACAAAACTACAGAGGAATAACCCTCTTAAATATAACAATAAAACTTTTCAAGGGTATTCTCAAGGACAAATTGGAAAGGAAAATCACTAATGCTGAAGAACAACAAGGTTTTACAAAAAGGCGGTCTATAACAGACGCAGTATTTACAATAAAACAAATAAAAGAAAAAGCTATAGAGTTCGGCATGCCAGCGTATATTTGCTTCATTGATTTGACGAAGGCATTTGACAGAGTTCGCCTGGGAGACATTTTAAATATTTTAATAGAAAATGAAACACCGACCAGTATAACAAAGATACTCCATAACCTAAATAACAACAACGTAACCAAAGTTATAGCAGGAGACGAATTCACTGAAACTATTCCAATACCAGGAGGAATTAGACAAGGCGACAGTTTAAGCCCCTTCTTGTTTAATCTTCTCATGGGCAAAATTATCAACAAAGTAACATCTCTTAATCTCGGATATAGAATGGGCAACAAAAGAATTGGTATGGTGTGTTACGCAGACGATGCAGCAATTGTTGCCGAATCAGAAGATGATCTCCAAAGGCAGCTCTTTCAGTTGACAATAGCAAAAGATCCGCTCAGATGTAAGTTAGTGGTTGAGGCCAACCCCATAGAACAGGTGATGCAATTCAGATATCTGGGCATAGATATATCAAGCACCCACGACCCAGTCAAGGACCTGAGGAGTCAGATCAACAAAGCATCTGCACTGTCAGGATGTCTGCGGGAGATAGTCTGGTCAAATCCGTATATGCGCACAGATAGTAAAATTAGAATCTATAAGACTTGCATACGACCGATCATGACATATGGCATAGAAGTGCGCGAAGATACCAACAAAACGAAACAGATGCTAAGGGTTGCCGAAATGAAAACCCTAAGAACAATAATGTGGAAAACAAGAAGAGACAGAGTGAGAAATACAAACATTAGAGAGCAGTGCAAAATTCAAGATATTGTAAGATGGGGAAGGCAGCGCAAGAGGATGTGGTACAACCATGTAAGACGAATGGATGAGAATAGACTCCCAAAAATTACCCTAGAAAACAATCCGCCCGGTTCAAGACCCCCCGGAAGACCACCTAAAAGATGGAGGGATAGTTGGCAATCTACCTCCCAAGAAATTAACCAGAGGCAGCTTCAGAATTAAACAGATCGAAAGATCTACAATAAGTAGAAGAAGAAGAAGATTTATTTATTAATACATATATTTTATACTCATTGAAAATCAAATAAATATATTTTCGGTATTAAAAGTCCGCGTTGACACGCGACGCCCATGGGACAACGTAGCGACGCCCATGGGACAACGTAGCGACGCCCATGGGACAACGTAGCGACGCCATAGGGCGTCGCGATGCACAGTTTGCGAAGCCCTGGCTTAAATAATTTTTAACAACAATGTTTATTAGCACTTTTTCTGTAAAGTGAACCCTTCTCTCAGAAACAACGCATACATATCACGCACTTAGAATATCACAATAAAATATATAATATTTACAATAAACAATATATATATATATATATATATATATATATATATACATATATATATGTATATATATATATATCGTTTATTGTAAATATTATATATTTTATTGTGATATTCTAACTAAACTAAACTTTTGTAATTATTTTATACAAACTCGGTAGATATTCATTAAATTTGAAAATGCTGAATACTTAATTTTGTGTTTAATTGAATTTTATATTTTTTCTAATAACACAATGCTACTAACGATCCTTTTTGATAAAATTATTTTAAATAAACTATATAATTGTTTAGGTCGAAGCCCAGATATCAGAATTTTTACTAACACGAGCACGGGAAATGGCATTTTCCAAACTTGATGTTCCCTTATTTAATAAAGAACAAAATGCTGAATATAGACAAGCCATGCTTGATAAAGAAAAACTGGCAAGAGTTTATAAGGAAAAGGAAGTTGAGGAAGAAATAGATTATTTTGCTCCATATCTAGCTAGATTTGGTAGGTATAAATACATTTTTTAATACCTTTAATTTTTTGATTCTGAGTTATGACCATTTACTTCTAATTAAGTAAATTAAAGACGTAGAGAAGAACGTCAGATAACATATTTGAAAAGCGCAACTTAAATTAATTATTTCAAAACTATAACCATTATTATTGAAAAAAACATCTTGTAGAGACGGATCTCCAATACTCGTATATTTGGCAAATATTTGTTACCTATATTTGCCAGGTAGTGGGAGTGGATCCTTCGGCAATTACTTGTATGTACCATTATTTGCCGCATGCGAAGTCTTGTCACCGGCGGTTGTCGGTAAAAATGCCGGCCGTCAATAGGGTTTCAATTTATTAATATCTTCAGTACTCTCTGTTTCGCTTTCGTAACGCGAGCGTGGTGTGTGTGTTTGACGTTGTTAATTCTAGCGTTTGTTTAAATGGATTGCTCTCAAGTATAATTGGGTGTTTCACAGTCTTATGTTACACAAAGTTTCATCTTTGTGTAACATAAGACTATTTTCTTCGAGTTTTCTGTTCAAAATGGTATTGCGGAATACAGCAATAAAATATGTTTTAAATATATTTATTTTGCAAATTGTTTTCACTCATTGACATCAGAGTAGATAGCACCTTTGTACACTAACCACTTGAGCGGGGAACAGTTAGGAGACATTCGTTAGCCTTCCGTGTTTGATTTCATATTCAGCCCGAGTATCTGATGAGACCACGAGAAACCGAAGCGACGTCATAATAATTTGTTGATTACCAATTTAAGCACGAGAGATTGATGAATTCTCCTCCTACGCCATAGACTGGCTTTAACACATCAAAGCGATAGGAAGATGTAAACTTTTTGCTAAAAGATGTAAACTTTTTCACATTTCGTATAGTCCAAAGGACAAAAAACGATATTATTACATAGTTGTTATTAATGGCCATCAAAACAGATGACACCTTTGTGCACTAACCACTTGAGTGGGAAGCAATTCAGAGACATTCGATGGCCATACTAATTTATTTGGGTTCAAGTAGATTTTGATTAATAAATTAAATAAATACTGAAATTGTAGTTTTACATTTAAAATAAATATTTAAAAACCAGTGCTTATATTAAGTGTTCAAAATGCGCTGCAGCCACTTCATAACAGTAATGCATGCTATTACTAAACTCTTGTGGTACTCATTCAAATGTGTCTGAGGAATATCAAATGATGTGAGCTCTGGCGATCGAGCTGGCCATTCTATTGAACCTCATCGTCCAGTCTCAAGAGCACCATCTTGTTAAAACGTTATCTTCAAGTAACTGAATTCATCTGAATTATCTTCCAGACTTTTAAGAACTAACGGCTTAATTTCGTTATCTAACATCTCCAAAAACCCTTCACCGGTTAGGTTAGCATTAACAAAACATTTCCAACTATCTGTATATTGAATAAGTTTTTCACGGAAGATGTGAAGATTTGTGTCACTTCAGTACCTCATATTATGTGTCTTAACATTTCAATTAAGGGGAAAAAGTACTTTTGGACACGTCCAAGAGTACGTTTGGCATCTCAAATACTAGCTGATTCTTCAAACTTCCGAAGTACCCTCAAAATAAGTCCTCTATATAAGGCCATCGAGTACTTGCCATTAAAAAGTCGTTCCGCTGCATGGCAATTGTTTCTAAATTCACCAATTATTAAGACAGCTGCTACTTTGCCGGCTACAGTACGTACCATTCTGGCTATGTAAACATTTAAACATCTCGTTAAAAAATAATGAAACTAAGCATTCACGGTATAAATATTTTGAAACAAACTTAGCAATATAAAAACAACTCGAGAATTAAAAAATGTCAATTTTTTCGCCAATGACCAGAAGCAGACGCTAGAATCTATTAATTAAAGGCGAAACTATAATTTTAGTATTTATTTAATTTATTTATTAAAATCAGCTTAAACCCACACAAAATTAGTAATATTGAATAGGTATGTTCAATACCTTTCAAACGAGATATCATTTACCATAATGTCCCATTTAAAATCATCGGTCACAGTAGCTCTCTAACATCTATCACTATTACGTTACCTGTTATGACTAGTTGAGAAGCCTACTTCTGTTTATTTCCTCCCTCCCAATTTCAGTAAGCATAACTAACAGTTCAAAAGATACGCGGAACAGGGACTTTTGGCTAGCTCTGTATATATAAATAAATAACTTCTTTTGGCTATGGATTTTTTTTTAGATTTAGATTTAATCTAAACAAGCTGCCTTGACTAGTATTTAATTTTCGCATACTTTGAACAATCTTAAAAGTATTTTTCCTCTAAATAATTTGTTCACGTAATAATTATAAATATTTTAACAATATAGTAGTACAAGGTGTCTCAGCTCGTCTTTAAGATTCGCCAGGGAATGTAATTTTTTAGTACTGTCCAAACAAGCTCTATTGGGGTTAAATGTGGATGCCTAATATATTATCATGTCCATTATTTGTAATAGTGGAATCAATAGAAATTTTTATATTTCGGTTTACATAAATTTATAATAGCATACAGGTCAAATCGGAGACAGAAAAAGTAATATTTCTAGGTTTTTTTGGTTATGTTGGTGCTTTATCCTTTTGAGTGTTAGGTGCATAAGGTGCCTTGTCCATTACGATGGCACTTTTGAGAGCAGTTAACAACATCATATCATCATGGCAATCATCCAATTCTTCTGGGATTTTCATCTTAAATAAGAGTGCTCGACAAAACTTGCTTCCTTCCCTTCGTTCGCTTCATCTATCTCACTATTACTGCGTATAGCTTAAAAGTAAATACGTTTCATCAGTAAAAACAATAAATGTTCTTTGGTTTCTAAATTGTTTCAGGTTTTAGTTTTTCTATTAAAAGTTTTCTATTAATGCCTATTTTTTTGACGGAATCCAAGATTTCTAATTTTCAAGCGATTGCTTTCTTTGCCTCTTTCATAATCAGATTCTTTAACAAATTTATTATAAATTTGATTTATTGTGGATAATTGTGTTTCTTCTTCTTCTTATGGTGCCCTATCCAATTAGTGGATGTTGGGGACAATTCTGGCATACTCCTCTCGATCTTGTGTGGCTCTAAAGAGTGCATGTGCATTAAGGTTTGTCCAATCCCTTATGTTTTTCAGCCATGAGTATTTCTTTCTTTCGATGCCCCGTTTTCCTTCTATCTTCCCTTCCATAAGATTCTTTAAGAACTGGTACTTGGAATTTCGGAATATATTACCCAGATAAGCAGTTTTTCTTTCTTCATTTTATTATTGGCAGCAATTCTCGTTCTCTGCCCATTCGATTTAATACTTCGACATTTGTTGTGTGATCTGTCCAGATAATTTTAAGTAGCCTTCTAAATACCCACATTTCAAAGGCCTCTAATCGGTTCATTACATAAGCCTTTATGGTCCAGGTTTCTACACCATATAGCAGTATGGAGTAAATGTAACATTTTACAAAACGATATCGAAGCGTTAAGTTAGGGCTGCTTTTGCTTAGCAAGGTTGTCATATTAATAAATGCTGTTGTGGCTTGCTCAATCCTGCTACGTATCTCCATGTCTGGATCTAAATCTTCAGTTATCCAACTACAGAACAGAACCTTGTGTTTCTGTATATATGAAAATTTATTAACTATGGACGTAACAAATCCTATTTATCTGTTTGTAATTTCATTTTTGAATATTTTTTGACCTCTTATTTTCGCAGCCATCATTTGCAATATGTTTGACGCTATACACAGAAACTCCCGAAAATGCAATCCAAAATATCTTAGATTATTTATTATTGGTTTTATTAGATTATTGAACAAATTACAATATCTGTCATGCTAGTCACACGCTTTTGTAGTTTCTTAAAGTTAATAACGGGTTTATCAGTATTTGCCTTTATTTGAGAGAAATTTACTTTTGACAGGATGAAGCGAAATGACATTTTAAATTTATTACAAACTGAACAAATAGACCATCAGATAATAAGGACAATTTCTGTTTTTCCTATTTTAATCCAGATCAATTCTGCAACTTTGAAAAAACATTTCAACAAAATGGTGCTCCTGTACATTATTATCGTGCAGTACGACGTTACCAAGGTGTGGAATATCGTGGTAGATGGACTGGACGACGAGGTTCGATAGAATGGCCAGCTAGGTCACCCGACAGTATTGACGTTTTAAAACAACGAATTATTAAAAAATGTTAGTAAATATCCCCCGACACATTTTAACGACAAGAGTTTAGCAATAGGATGCATTACTATCAGAAAGTAGAGGGAGCACATTTTGAACACTTAATATAAGAACTGGCTCTTAAATATTTATCATCAATTAAATGCGATTTTAGTATTTACTTAATTTATTCATCAAACAAGCTCAAACACAAATAAAATTGGTATGATTGAATAGGTATTTTCAATACTTTTCTAACGAGATATCATTCGCCCATTGTTCAATTTAAAATTATCGGTCGCAGTGGCTCTGCAGTAGCACTGTATATTGGATGCAAAGCATAAAGATAATATATTTTACATACGTTTCTGATAACCTTTTGCATAAAAAACACTTAGTTCACCGATAACACAATTTGTTGGTTCAATGCCAAAGTCAGGAATGTGTATATTAATGTTTTGAGAAAAAATCGTTTTAAACATTGGGGACATTGCTAAAAATAGCAATTTCAATTTATGTTACGAACCATTATTAAAAAATTACTGTTATAAAACATTATTTATTGACGGCTGAAAATTTGGAAATTTGTAATGCTTTTCAAAAAAATATATACATTTATTGTTTTAACCTTTTAAAATTTAAAACAAATAAAACCATGATATTACAAAAATAACAGTTTTATTGAAAACAGAAGTTAAGATTATAAAAATCCTAATAAAATTTACAAACATCAAATTCTACTGCAGAAAAAATTAACCAGAATATCAAATTTTGTTTTCTTCACTATCGGATTAAACAAAATAAAAAACAAACTTTTTTTTTTAAACAT